AATCAAACAATATCCCTCCCTTAACCCTTTGTCCTCCTGCCCATATCAGCCTGATTTCTCCCCTTCCCCTATAGCTAAACTTTCTTAGCTTCCTTGCCTCCCCTTTACTCTCCAGCCCACTGCCCCACCATCCTACCAAAGTGTTCCTGCAAACTTCATTGCTGACATCCTCATTACCAAACCAAATGAAGACTTTCCACCCTTATCTTCCTTGACCTTTCTGTAGCAATAAATACCACTACTTCCTTTTGCCTAAAATGCTTCCCTTAGCTCTTCTGTTGTTCTTCTGCTCTAATGTTTGAGAAACTTTTCTGAGTCTTCTGAATCTACCTCAATCCTCTGCCTTCGCTTGCAGAGGTAAGGGTTTCTCTAGGTTCCCACTTTCATGGCCCTGTTCTCTTCTCATTCTTCTGCTTTACTGGGAAGTAAAGATGACCTCCTTATGGTCATCTGTTTCCAATGTCCTCTAATCAACATCTCCGTTTCTGAATATTCGCTTGAGCAGGAGGTCCACAATTTAAATGCACAACAAACATGTGAGTATACAACTGAGGAAGCCACTGACAGAGGCTTCTCAAGGACAAGGACCATTATTCACTCAGGTCTGAATCCCCAGCCATGGTAGGGCACATACTCAATGCTTAACAAACATTTTATGGATAAATGAATGAATGAATAATGGCAGAGGAATGACTGAAAGATAAAAATATGTTAAATAGAAAAATGTTGGAAAAATACATAATAATTATAACTGAGTGTATTACTTTTACAGTAGTGATAATATCTAAGTGAACAAATAAAATGGTGAAGACGGACATAATTCCAGTCCTCATAGAATGCACATTTTATTGGTAGATATGACAATGAAATAAATACTAATAACTACACAATAGTACTAAGCAAGTAAACATGAAAAATATTAATAGAATATAGCCATAAGCGCTAGGTAGGAAATGAAACTTATGTGATAGAATGACTGTGTCACTATCTTGGTCAGGAACATCAGGGAAGACCTCTTTAATGAGATAATGTTTAAGTGGAGAGAAGAATGACCACAAGAAACCAGTCAGTGAGAATCAGGAAGAAGAGCATTAAAGGAAGAAGAAAAAGCTATTTCAAAGGCCTTAAGGTGGAAGCAAACTGCAGTGTGTTCAAAGAACATGAAGACATTAGTGTGGCCAGAATGGAATGAGCAATGGAGAGAAAAATATGAGATGGGGGTAGTGACAGATCACATCGGGCTTTGGGATCCAAAACAAGCGGATGAGATTTTATTCTAAGTGCAATGATAAGCCAAGGGAGGTTGGGCAGGGTGGCTCACACCTGTAATCCTAACACTTGGTGAGGCCAAGGCAGGCAGATCACTTGAGTTCAGGAGTTTAAGACCAGCCTTACCAACATGGAGAAACCCCATCTCCACTAAAAACACAAAAATTAGCTGGGCATGGTGGCACATGCCTGTAATCCCAGCTACTCAGGAGGCCGAGACAGGAGAATCACTTGAACCGAGGAGACAGAGGTTGCAGTGAGCTGAGATGGCGCTACTGCCCTCCAGCCTGCTGAAGATTGGGAGGTCCTCCAGTTTAATTGAAAATGTAGTTTGAAACCAGATCTTGTGGGTCACAAATACCAGTTGGCAGAAGGGCTCTAATTGCAGGATTCTGAACAGAGAAGTATCATGAACACATGCACTTAATGGTGGTATGATTTTTTTCGGGGGACTGGGGGATAGGGTCTTGCTCTGTTGCCCAGGATAACATGCAGTGGCATGATCTGGGTTCACTGAAACCTCCACCTCCCAGGCTCAAGTGATCTTCCCAGCTCAGCCTCCTGAGTAACTGGGACTACAGGCATGCATCACCGCACTCGGCTAATTTTTTGTAGAGATAAGGTCTCACTATATGGCCCAGGCTGGCCTGGAGCTCCTGGGCTCAAGCAAAACTCTTTTGTTGGCCTCCAAAAATGCTGAGATTATAGGGGTGAGAGTGGTATGATTTTTTTTTTTAAATGAGTTAGAATCAGGGAGATTGCACTGCAAAAGAAGAGGCTATTGCAATGGTCCAGTGAGAGTTAAAGAGGGACTGGTTTGGTCTGGCATCAGTGGGAATGCAAATGGGGGAGGTGAATATGAGAGTCATGGAGGACGCAGAACTATACAACTTGTTGGTAGCAAAGCCCAGATGTTGCAAGCTATTACAGCTAATACATTAGTTCCCTTATGTTTCTGGATGGTGGTTGTGGTAGTGGTGTGGCACAGATACGAGTAGCCCAGCTTAGGAGTGGAAAAAGAAATACAGTGAGAAAAGAGGTTGTCTCTAAGCCAAAGAGCAAATTATGAATATAGACAGGAAGGGACCTAGGACATCAACATTTAGAATCCAAGCATATACTTAATTTAGACTACTAATTGCCATTATTTTGAGTAAGATATTAGCATTAAAAATAAAGTACCATACTTAAATTTTTTAAAAAGTCTATTGGATCAGAGATGAGTTATATCTCTACAAATAGTAAGGATTTGCTCTGCATTTGACTTCATAAAGTTTCAGATTTACTTTTCAATCAGAGAGATTAGACACCTTGAAGACAATATAACGAATGTCATTTATAAAACCACTGTGTACCTACTCTCTAGGGTTAGGTCCAGGGTTTTTTCTAAGCACAGCTTTCTATGTAGTAAGTCATTTTGATTTTTGAGGATTTGATTAATAAGCTTCTACTTAAAGATCTCTGAAGATGCACATTCTAAGAGCTGGTGGCCAGCCCAGGAGAGTCTGAACTATTTTAGTTGCATTTTGAAAAACAGGTAATGAAAAGAAGAGTAAGGACTAGAAGCCACATAGCTAAGGTGGTTAAAAGGTATAAATGGAAAATAATCCAGACCTGCTCCTTAGCCCACTAAAACTTTTTGTTTTGTTTTGTTTTGTTTTGGAGACGAGACTTGCTCTGTCACCCAGGCTGGAGTGCAGTGGCATGATCTCGGCTCACTGCCACCTCCACCTCCTGGGTTCAAGAGATTGTCCTGCCTCAGCCTCCTGAGTAGCTGGGATTACAGGCGCATGCCAACATGCCCAGCTAATTTTTGTACGTTTAGTAAAGATGGTGTTTCACCCTGTTGGCCAGGCTGCTCTTGAACTCCCGACTTCAAGTGACCCATGCACCTCGGCCTCCCAAAGTGCTGGGATTACGGGCATGAGCCACTGCGCCCAGCCGTAGCCTGCTAAAACTTTGACAAACATCAATGCAATTTAACTAGAAGTTCCCAGTCAGGAGTTACTCCTCTGAGATCTATCTGATTGAAAACACCCCACCAGAAAAACCTTATCCTCATTTTCTCAGGTCCTAAAAGTTAATTAAAGCCACTCTCTGAACTGGAAGCAAAACTTACACTGGCAGTTTGAGGTTTCTGAATCTTTGGGGCCAAATGTGCTCAGAGGGAAAGGAAGAGGTCTTGTCTTTGATATACTAAAAACAATTCCAGGGCTGGGGTCTTAGCACTTCATTGTAGAGCTCAAGCCTAGTTTCACGGTGCCGACAGAGGGGCTTCTGAACACAAAGCACAGGAGGCAATCGAGAAGGGTTCTGATCCTGGGATCCACACGGAGGTTTGGGAACCTCCTGCGGTTGTCTCTAAAGGTTGGTGTTTATGTGGATGTTTTTGCTTTCATCTGGGAAAGACAAGTTGTAACTTTCATCAAAATCTCAAAGAACTCTATGATCCAATAAGTTCATACCTTTGAAATACAGAAGGATACCAAGGAGAGTAGAAGGAAGAGAGGAAGAACTGCTTATTTAAGTTAACCAATTCAGAAGTATGACATGCAAAAAGATAAGACAAAAGTAACTCATATCCTTATGTCATTGTGGTTCAAACTTAGGACAGGTTCAAACTCCTTCCTCTTCTCTTTATCATACTCTCATTCCTGTTTTCCCCAACACGGAACCCCCCATTATAAGTACTTGAAAAGTGTGCTATAGTAAAGCAAAGAAGTGGGATGAATCAGATGTATGCGGTACTTTTTTCTGGAGTCCCACAGAAAGGTGCTCAAAAACAGAGAGCTGCCTGTTTCCTCCATAGCCACAGACTGCAGGATTTCAGACCCTGGGACTACGTGGGATACTCTTGGAAAGTCTGGGGAAAATTAGAAGTAGCCTAACCATATGCATTTTATCTAGGTGCATATAACATTGCTGAGTTCAAAATGCCTAGCTATCCTTGGATCTTTCCTGAATCCTAAACCCCACCATTCCTAAGATTGTTCTTTTTCTTGTAACAATAATGGCTAACATTTACTAATCACTTACTATGTGTCAGGCTCAGATCTGGATGCTTTTCAGCAAAATCTTATTTAATCCTCATGATAAAACTATAGAGTATTATTACTATATCCATTTTATAGAAGAAGAAACTGAGTCATTAACAAGATTGAGACTTAGGGCAGAAATGGAAACTATGTGTATATTCCAGATCAGTCCCAGAAGATTCATAGGCTCACAGAAAGAAATGGGAGGGATGGGGATGAGAAACTCTTCCACTGTAAGCTTGTCCCAGGGCAGTTGCCCAGTCTTCCATTTATTCCATCATTTATCCCAGACAGAAGTGCAGTCTTGGAAAATGGGGTGACAGGTTTGCCATGATCTACTCTCAGAGAGCCCCCGTAGATTCCAGTAGGAGGAACAGCAGCTGCAGAGCCAGAGGACAGGACCCAGATCCCAACATCATGTAGCCCAACAGTGCAGCTTAGATAAAACAAAGCCTCTGTAAGCCACAATGACTTTATTTGTAAAATAGAAATAGCAACCTCAACTCACAAAGATGTTGGGAGGGTCAAAGTGGACAGCAAGTTTAAAAGTACTCACAAAATCTAATAAGCAATTCAACATAAAACTCCATGGCTATCGCTGTTCCTCACTTTCTGAAACTTTACCTGCCTGACTTAGTCCCAAACCACTCCAACTCACTTCAACCACTTCCCATGCAGAAAAAAAAATGAACTCACCATCTCCTCTGCGACTCTGCTGGTTTTCTGCCTTCCGCCCAACCCGGACTTCTTATAATCTCACTGCCTCCCCTCAGTGTCAGGCTGTTTAGAAAAACAACTTCCTATTCACATTCCAGAAACTCACCACAGCCCTTCCCATGAAGTTAGAATGTTGATAATGCGAGGGTGATGTTGGCAGCTTAGAAGCAGTGGTTGCCAAGAGGCAAAGGGGTCACCCCCTTCCATGGGAGATGGTCTGGAGACAGGGCAAGGTGAATCACTCCTGTGCTGAGCAACGTGGTAACAGTACACACACAAAGATTTCCTTTGATTATGATATAAGCCCCAATTTAAAGTCGTACATTTGGAAAATATGCTTTGAATTAATCATAATGTGATTTTCCAGTGCCCATTTTCCAGTTGTTGTGAAATGTCAGTGAATGTTTACTATTCCAGCAGCCTTCTGAGGGAAAGGAGCAAAAATAGTAGCACAATAAAAATTAGAGAGAAAAGGAAAAAGCCACTAACGGTTTTCTGGCACTTGGGAAAGTTTACTGGTAAGTTTCAAAATGACGTATTAAATAGACATAGGTCACATGAAAGAAATTCTGCTTCTTATATCAGAAATAAAAAGGTATACAAATAGATACCTTTTTATTTTCCTCTTCCCATGGAATTTGTAGGACCAAAAAGCTGTTGGCATAGTAGTTAAGACTTGAGCTATGCTGTTAAACAGCCTGAGACCCATCCTGGCTCCACCTCTGGCTATCCACTGGGCAAATTACTTAAACTCTCTATGCCTCTGTTTTCTCAACTGTAAAATAGAATAACAAAACTTGTCTCACCGGGTTGTTGTAGAATCAAATGAGTTAATATGTAGAGAGTAATTGAAATGACACCTGGCCCACAATTGACGCTCAACAAATGTTAGCGATTATTACTACTTTTCAGATTAGATCTCAGACAGCAAAATCAAGTATCAAGTATTTAGTATCAAGTCAGAAAGCCATAACTCCTATTTATACTCTCGGAATTCTATTGTGTAGTAGTAGGTATTATTCTTCATTCACTTCATGGTGGTTACAGCTTGTAAATAGGCATCTCATGGATAAATTTAAAATTGAATGAAGTAGAAACATTGGGAGAAAGTCTAAAGGTAAAGATGAATTAGGGCATGTGAGGCTGCATTTGCACTTTGGAATTTGGTACCAAGAAGAAGAAATTAATTATATAGTAGAAGTAGAAAAGATTGTGAAGGAGATGCTGTTGAAGGAATGACTGTAGGGGAATAAGGGAAGCTTAGAGAGATGAAAAACTGAGGAACTTCTTGGCAGCATGATGCAGTTCAGAGTCCAGACCCCAGAGTCAGACTGCCTAGCTCCACCACCTACCAGCTGTGTTGGGCGTTACTAATCTCCCTATGACTCAGTTTCCTCAGTGATGTGGTTTTGCTGTGTCCCCACCCAAATCTCATCTTGAATTGTAGCTCCCATAATTCCCACAGGTTGTGGGAGGGACCTGGTAAGAGATAATGGAATCATGGGGGTGGTTCCCTTATACTGTTCTCATGGTAATGAATAAGTCTCACGAGATCTGATGGTTTTATAAGGGGAAACCCCTTTTGTTTGGTTCTCATTTCTCTCTCTTCCCTGCTGTCATGTAAGATGTATCTTTTGCTTTCTGCCATGATTGTGAGGCCTCCCCAGCCATGTGGAACTGTGAGTCCATTAAACCTCTTTTTTTTTTAATAAATTACCCTGTCTTGGGTATGTCTTTATCAGCAGCATGAGAACAGACTAATACACTCAGCAATGTGAATAATAAGGTTAATAATCACCAAACACATACACGTGTAAGGACAATTAAATGAATTTAAAGTGTTTGGAACAATACTTAGCATGCTGTAAGTGTAAGTTTAAGTGTTGGCTATTATTCTACAAGACTTGCCTCCATGTCTTTCTGTTCTTACTTTCACTCACCAGCCCCTCTTTTTGGCATTGCCTCATGTTAAAAAAAAAAAAAAATATATATATATATATATATATATATAGTCTCAGATGGAGATGAGGAAGGGTGGTATGTAGACTAGTAGGTTCTCTTTTTTTTTTTTTAATTTTTTTCAGACAGGGTCTCACTCTGTGTCCTTAGGCTGAAGTGCAGTGGCATGATAACTGCTTTCTGCAGCCTTGACCTCCTGGGCTCAAGCAGTTCTCCCACCTCAGCCTCCTGAGTAGCTGGGACTACAGACGTGTACCATCACTCCTGGCTAATTAAAAAAAAAATCTCTAGAGATAGGGTCTCACTGTATTTCCCAGGCTGGTCTTGAATTTCAGGGCTCAAGTGATCCTTTCACCTCAGCCTCCCAAAATGTTGGGATTACAGGCATGCGCCCCCATGCCCAACCTGATAGGTTCTTGTTGATAATAAGTTTCATATTAATAAGTGCAACTGGTAATATGTTTTTAAGTTGATGTTGTTAAATTTTAGTGAATATAAAAAAACATAAAAAGATTCCTATGGAGGTGACATTAGCAAGATAGTGGAGTAGGAGATGTCAGCCTTATGCCCCAAGAAAAAACAAATATAGACAGCTATACACAAATCAAAATAACCCTCAAGAGGGTGGGGAGTTGCGGGGTGGGGCTCAAGAGCCTGTTAAAGAATTTGGAACAACAAAATGGAGAAAAGAAAACAATATCCATGTAGAAGAATCACTGGTGAGACTGGCCTATATGAGACACCAGGAGATATCTAGGAATAAAGAAAGTTGTAGGCTATCAGTGTCAGTCATGTGGTAAGAGCCACTGTGGCCCCCAGTGTCCTGCTCCACAGAAGACACTGGCATCTTTTGTCACTAAGGTAAACAACAGCCATCCCCACAGCAGGATGCTAGAAAGGGAGACACAGTTGCACCACCCCCCAAACCCCCTCACCAAGAAGCAGCTATTGTACTGCCCCAGGACTGGGGCCAGGGTTGCCACCTCTTGCAACTGTATGTGTTTCCCTGATCCCCAAAAGTTGTGGCTGCTCTGCAGGTATTCACACTCCGGACTGTGGCTCTGTGGCTGCAGTGCACCTACTCATGTCTCAGACACTGGAGTCACTGCTGTTGTGAACTAGATCTCACCGTGGGACCCCAAACCAAGTTCTCTCTGTGAAAGTCTTTGCTCCGGACACCAGTTCAGCCACTGTAGAAAGCTAACCCCTATTCTTGACTCCAGAGCTACTGTAGTAATGTGCACGCCTGTGCTCCAGACCCTGGCTCTGAGGCTGCACTACACACACCTACACCTCCAACACCAGAGCCACCATTACAGTGAGCTAGTACACACCCTGGGTCCCAGTCCCAGAATCAAGGTTTCTCTGTGCCTGTCCATGCTCCAGTCACCAGCTCAGCCAACAAGGAGAGCTAACCCACACCCTGGATCCTGGAGCCACTGTAGCTCTGCATATACGTGCAGTAAAGTCCCTTGCTCCTCAGTTGCTTTATATGTACCTGCACTTTACACACCATTGTCAATGTGATAGTAAGTATGCCTGTGCCTTGGGCACTGGTGCCATTGCTACCATTGAATCTGGTGCTGTGGTCCCTCCATGCATGCCCATGCTTCAGGCCTTGACTCTTGACCACTCCATGGGCACTATTCATCAGACACCAGTGCCACCACCACCATAAGCAGGCCTGCAAGTTAGACCCAGTTTCAAGAGGAATTTCTTCAGTCACAACTTCCCAGGTGGGGAAAAAAAGAGATATGGAGGACTTGTCACCACTGAAAACCTCAACAGCCTCCTTGCCACTATAGATACCCACAGTGTTGGCTTCTAAGGATCCCTGTAGTCTACACCGACACCAACCTCAGCTGACAGATCTGCATGGAGACCACACAGCTTTGCCCCCACTGAAATTAGAACTTTTGCATCCCACCCAGCCAGCATCCTTGCATTATCCTACATAAGATGGTATTTATCCACCAAAGTCAGCCCACACAGCCTGAAATTGGGGCAGATCCACCAGATGCTCAGACATCAGTGTAATGCAGCAAGAAACATGAAAACCCAAATTAAAATATTACCATCTAAGAAACACAATAATTTCCCAGTAGCTGACCCAAAAGAAATGGAGTAATACATATGGCCTGACAAGGGATTCAAAATAATTGCTTTTAAAGAAACTCAGTGACTTTGAAGCAGACACAGAGAAACAATTTGGTGAAATCAGAGAAACAATAAATGGACAACATAAGAAATGTAACAGAAAGATTAAAATCATAAAAAAAGTTGGAGCTGAAAAATATAATGAATGAAGTGAGAAATGCAGTAGAAGTCATCAATAGCAGACTTGATCAAGCAGAAGAAAGAATCTGTGAACTGAAGACAGGTTTTTGAAAATATACAGTGAGAGGAGAAAAAAAGAATGAAAAGAAATGATGAAAGCCTATAGGATTTATGGGACAGCACAAAGAAAGCTAACATTCAGCCAGGCACAGTGGCTCATGCCTATAATCCCAGCACTTCGGGAGGCCAAGGTGGGTGGATCACCTAAGGTCAGGAGTTGACACCAGCCTGACAAACATAGGTGAAACCCCATCTCTACTAAAAATACAAAAAAATTAGCCAGGGATAGTGGCACATGCCTGTAATCCCAGCTACTGGGGAGGCTGAGGCAGCAGAATCTCTTGAACCCAGGAGGCAGAGGTTTCAGTGAGCTGAGATCATGCAACTGAACTCTAGCCTGGGTGACAGAGTGAGACTCCATCTCAAAAAATAAAAATGGAAATTAAATTAAAAATTTAAAAAAAGTGAGCTAACATTCACATTACAGTAGTTTAAGAAGGAGAAAATAGAGAAAAAGGAGGTCAGAAAGCATATTTAAAGATTTCTAGCTGAGAATTTCCCAAATCTGAAATAAAATATAAATATTCAGGTACAGGAAGCTTAAAAATCTCCAGTCAGGTTCAATCCAGAAAAGATCACACCAAGACATAATAATCAAACTATCGAAAATCAAAGACAAAGACAAGATCGTAAAATCAGCAAGAGAAAAGAAGCATATCACAGGCAAGAACTGCAATAAGGTTATCACAAGATTTCTCAGCAGAATCCTTCTAGGCCC